GAATGAGTCAGAAAGACTACTTGGTATCTAACAAATTGGAGATGAGTTCAACTTCTTCTTAGGATTGAGGAAAAGAGAAACTGGGCCTCTGATTTCCACTGGACATGAAATAGTGCCTTAAACCCAGTTCCTAGTCCTGAGGACTAGAATAGCTCTTGGCTTTCTACTGAGCCTTCAGACTTGTAGTTGTCTTTCTGCCTGAGGATACTCTGACTTGGAAATTCAGCATATTGAAAGTTGACTGATCCTGCCAAGGATCCATTGAGGGTGCGCCTATTGAATCCTAAATCCTTTGTGTTCAGCGTTGTTTCCTAGATTACTTTTTCTTGATACCATTTTCTCCACATTTTGCTTTATTGCACATAGTATTGATGGATAGTCCTCTGGAACATTGTCAGTTTTTCTCTTAGGGACAGAAAATGTAGACTGTGGAATGTTTCCTTATTGAGAATGCTATTGTTGCTCAACTTCTGTTCTGAGTTGAAATTGAGAATATAATTATTTATGTCCATAGTTTTTGGCTTGAGGTGTCTTATTATCACTCTAACCATGGCACAGGTCATGGGGCAAGAGTGGAAACAAGTCCCCGATTCTTGGAGACCCTAGAGGGGTATCCATATGGAGCAGCAATGATCATGAGCCTAATTCTCCCCTGTGCCTTCATTATGATTCATTCTATGTCACTCTCAGAAATATATTCATGGATATTTATTCATTGCTAAATTTTAGTAAAGCCCAATTTTTATATGTTTAATTGCTTGTTTCCAAAGTTAAGTTCATTTGTTTTTCTTACTTTAAGACCTTCAAATTGATTTTCCTTTCTTATTTGAAACATCTTTCAGCAAAGATAAATGAACCAGAAGAATGGCACTCACTGTTGTGCCTTCTCTTCTTGCTGGCTTGATGAAAGCTTTTTTTTTTCTTTTTGGAATAGACTGTTCAAGATCTAGCCTGGCAGGAAGTCAGTCTCTGCAATGTGTTCTCTGTTGGAAGCATTGATCTTCATTCTTTCTCTCTTTTCAGTTCTTTCTTCTGATAGTGGTCTAGGGACCTGATTCCTGATTGTGGTCCACAAGCTCCCTATGTAAAATATTATCCTTCTCCACCTGAGCTCTGCATCATCAGAGATCAGCAGCTGAGAAGCTATCTCTGGAAAATATCTTTGTAGTTCTCACCTACTTATTCACAGCTCACATTATTTGTTTGACTCTCTAACCTCTCTGTGCTGCCAGAGAAGTTTTTAAACTTAGAATGGGAATAAATTGATGTAACATATTGACTGGTCCATACTTCTTATTGTTTCAGGTCATCCTATCAGCTGATTGTCGAAACACTGGCTGTGTTGAAGTAAAACTGCTAAAATGAAGTTTTAAATAAAAGTAATTAATGTCATTCTGGCAGACACATTTTAAAGTTTGGCTGCAATCTGTGCTATCAACTTAAAAACAAAATGAAGTTTGAATGGCTTAATGAACCAGGGAATATCATTACTCCGCTGGCGTATTTTAATGATTATTAACAACATATCAGCTAAACAGGTAGGTTATGAGTTGATAATTAGAAATATGCTCAACATAGTTTGATTATAACAGAACATATCATCTATCACATTCACAATTTTTAGTAACTTTTCTTTTAATTACCAGGAAATAAGATTTTCAGTATAGTGCAAAAGATCAAGATGTCAAAATAAGTTGAAAATGCATAACTGTATAAACTTCTAAATAACACTAAATACTTCTTTGACATAGTAAGTACTTAAATAAAAGTCAATTTCTTCATATTATTTGCATGTAATGTTAGTTTTGTATTTGAAAACCAAAGTCAATGCTCTGTAAAAATATGTATTTTTTTAGTGTTTATAGAGGAAACACAGTTTCTTTTGACTTATAACACAAACTCTTTATATTTGTGGTTAGATCTTTAGCAGTCTATAAGCCTTGACAGAAATGTATAGAGGCAATTTATTTCTCATGAATTAAGACATTTGGCAATTTAAAAAGCTATTATATTCTATATCTTTCATTCTAGCTTATGCACAGAAGAAATGCTGGTTGGAAATATTGGTTGCAAAGATAAGTGTATGGTGTTACTCATATTATTTGGTGTTAGATATTCTTTATTTGCTCATTCAGATCTACTCTTCTTTCTCCAACCTGTTCTGTGCCCTTGCCCTCTCATTTTTCTGATTGGACCAAAGGAAGGTATTGGCAGATGATCAAGGTGCAGAGTAAAGAGAAGGCGGGTTTATTTCTCCCCTTTTCTCCCTTTTGGGTCATGAGTTATCAGTGACTTCTTTTTCTGTTTCAGGCTGCAGCTCCTACCAGGTAGCTCTCTGCTACAACTTCTACTTTTTTCTGGATTGTAGTAACTTCTCTGTCCCTTGCCTTTCAGACCTAAGGGTGGGAATGATCTCCTACTCTTTTTTTGCCTCTCCATACCTTGATATTTATTCTAAATTCTTGCTGTTTCCTTGTAAATATTCTCTGTATTAGTCTCCTAGGGCTGCCATAACAAATTAACACAAACTTGGTAGCTTAAAATAACAGAAATTCTCTCACAGTTTTGAGGTCCAGAGGTCCAAAATGAAGATGTCAATAGGGTGGTTTCTTGTGGAGGACAGGAGGAAGAATCTATGTCTGCCCCTTAGCTTCTGGTGGCTATCAGAAATTGCTGTTTTGGGTGTGTGGACACATTATTCCAATCTCTGCTGTGGTCTTCATGTGACCTCCATCTCTGTGTCTCTCGGTGTCTTTTCCTTTTCTGTCTCTTATAAGAACACCTGTCATTGAATTTAGAAGCAATCCTAACCTAGGATAATCTCATTTTGAGACCTTTACCTTGATTACATCTGCAAAGACCCTTATTCCAAATAAGGTCTCATTCTGAAGTTTCAGGTGGAAATGTTTTTGGAGGCCACTATTGTCCTTTCATTAAACTTTCATTACTTAATCCTATTGGATCTCTGACTAATACAGGTGCCTTTTGTAATATATCAAAATAAGTGTATTTCCACTGTCTTAAGGGAATACTTTTCTTTAGAGTCCTTTCAGACAATATACTTCTAGTTCCCTCTGGAAATTCTATATAGAAAAATAAGATTGCTTGGTTTATTTGAAGCCCACTCCCCCTAGTAGAGAGGATTTAAGAATATATTAAAAAAGAACCTCTAATAAAATGGTTCAGTTTTATTTTTTAGTCTTTCATGTGTGAGGTAGACCTCACATTCTTGAGCCTGAGGTGGTTAAAGAGCAAGCACTCCCCTTTCCATGATCTTAACAGCTCAAAATGTTTAATTGAATTGCACAATTATGTCAATACAACTTTCTAAAAGAGGAAACTAAGGAAATTCAAGATTCCAGTTAGGAGGATATTTTTTCCCATAGTAGCTGAAAACACCCACAGAATATAAAACAGCCAGTTGTAAAAGCTGAGGGTAAAGCTGCAACACTGAACAACCTACGTCGTGGGGAAGTGAGGCCAAAAAAATTTCTATCGAAAATAAAGTAGAACATTTGTGTAGGATACTCTGAAGAGGAAGTACAATGAGAGGCCTGTAGGATGCAACCAGAGTCAAGACTACTCTTTCACTCAGTGGGTTAAGCATTTTCATCAGTTTATATTAAATCTTTCTCTCCTTACTGTGTTATATTAAGAGAACTTGTGCTTATTAATTTTAGAGAAAAATGTGGAGGATCTTACTCCACAGTGTCTAGTCATTATTATTGATGAATCTTTTGTAATTCTTTGAACCTTGTCAGTTAAAGAACCCCTCCAGTTTTTGTTAAAAATAGATACTGAATGCATTCTTCCCATCTATATAAGTTGATTCCGGTGAACCAAAGAAAACTAAAACTCAGTAAGAACCATCCCTTTCAGAGTGCTGCTTTAATAAACTATTTTATAAAAAATCTGGATGTGCTGCATGGTATGAAAAGACAGGGTCCTATTCTTGTCATGTAGTTGAATACACAATGTTTAAATGAGAGAAATAATCTCTTTGTTTCTTTATTGTTTTCTGAAGAACCTATTAGAAAATGACATTTTCCTCATTATAAAAAATGCAAATCTTTTCATATTTCTAAATGTTTTATTTATATTGAACAACCTAGCAAGATTAAAGTCTTTCTTCTTCAATGACAGAAATGAAAAATTATGAAACTGTAAATCTGTATATATTTTCATTCAAATAAAAGAAAATGAAATATCATTTCATGAGGTAAAAATGTCTTGATGAGTAACAGATAAACATGGCATGAAATAAATTACTTAATAAACAGTTCGCAGCTGTGATTTGTTTAATACATTATAGTTGACTCATACTGCCTGTTCACATTAATGGCTGAGCATAAACCATTTTTGTCAGTGAAATTTTATTCAGATTTAAAAAGAATAATGTAGTTTATGACAGATTTAACTACAGCCATCAACCATATACCAACCTGTTGCTTTCAGATTATAGATTGAACATATGTTTTTAAAATCTTAATATGTCATATAATCAAAGTGTTTTGTGTTAATATATGGCTTTGTTCATCTGATTACAGCACTGGAAGAAGATTAAAGTTTTATGAGAGTCCCATAAAATTCAGCAGTTTGATGGAATACTAAACAGAGTAATCACTATACTTTATGGAACGTTATTCTGAGATGAGTTAGATTTTCTCCAATGATTACTAGGTGAACTGATTCTTTCAGATCATTAGCCTACCACTTACTGTAGGCAAGACTGGTGCCTGGGTCTAGAGTCTGGGAAAATTAAAAATATCTCTCAAAATATTTATCATGTCACCAAAAAGTGACTTAAACATTGGAAAGAGAATGCCTTAAGTATGTGATGACAGACTTTCATAGGAATCTAATAAATCTTCTGTTCTCTTTTTATCCAGGAGGTCAGCAAACATTTTCTATAAAAGATCAGGTGGTAATTATTTTTAGTTTTGTGGGTCATATTACACTCTCTGTCTCAACTACTTAATTCTGCCTTTGTAATATGAAAGCAGCATAGATAACAAGTAAGCTAATGTATGTGACTGTGCTTCAATAAATCTTTATTTACAAAAAACAAATGTCAGGCCTGATTTGGCCAGTAGGTTGTAGTTTGCCAACTCTTCTAAGCCTTTGTTTAGCTAAACTTTTCTTGATGACAACAATCAGGTTGTTGGGCTGTTTCAGTTTTCTTCAAGTTTTTTTAGCCAATACCTAAACCCACCAGAACAGGAGGGTGAGCTGTACCAGTTCGAGGAATTTCCAACTATGTGGTATTGACCACATGCAACATTTAGTTTATTTACTCTAACAGTTGAAGTCAGTGAATGAAATAATTTGCATCATTTAAGAATCCCCAGAATAAGAGCTCATTAAATTATATACAGCACCCAAAAACATCTACTCTGATATCATGAAGTCTTTTAAATACTTCCAAATTTCTTTTCTGACATTTTTTGAAGGTTGAGCTGGCAAAAATTCATGCTGTTACATCCCTGATTACTGTTTCTTTCATTTGCATGGAGATTGTCTAATTATAACAACATGGGTAAGGGGGCTCTGTTACAAGACTTGTAACCTGGAGAGTTCATGTCCATTTTAATATTTGTGGAGAAATTCATGCCACCAAATTCAGCTATTATCTTATCTGCAAATGAAGGTAAGTGGGTCTTCTTCCTCATCTCAATTATGTTGGCACCCATTTAGATTCATTCTCCTTATTTTACTCTTCAAAGCATTTTAAGTAATCTTTCCTCTTTGCCTGTATGAGTAACATACTTTTTGTTGTGTATTTTTCTTAATAAATTTCTTTCCTTATTTTATGAGATCCTACCAACCACAACTGATATTGTAGCATGTGGCATCAACACTTTACCTTTGAGGTCTGATGAGATGCTGACTTGCAGGGAATAGACATTCCTTAGGCAGCATTGAAGGATTCCATCAATATCTAAAACATGGGGAGAGGGTAGAGCTTCTTGGCTTGCTCTTTGTGAACTCTGTCACACAGAGTTGGAGTTAAATCACAAGGTCCTGCTCTGCAGCTTCTTTTTGCTTTCTTTTCTAGGCACTGCTTTCTATTTGTGTGGTGCCTCTGGAATTGATGGATTTGGGGGAGATGGTACAGAACATGTAAGTATATGAAAAATTAAAATGTCAAAGTTTTTCAGATATTTTATCATTCAACAAATATCTATGGATAGGTTGGCCATATAATTTATTGTACAGATCATGAAAAATATTTTTTTCTGAAAAGAAATAAAATAGAAAATAGGAAGAGATAAAAGGATGGTCATTGTGTTTAATGAGTGCTTCCTACTATGTCTCTTACAGACACCAAAAATACAGCAGTGATCAAAAAAAGCTGTAGTCCCTACCCTCAAGGGACTTTCATTTGGAGTAAGGAGAAGCAAATAATACATAAGCAATAAAAAGTTAACTTTTAAAAACACTTTTTCTGCTTACATAAATTAAATATATTTATTAATAGAAAAACAAAATTCATAGACTTTTTTGTGATTTTTTTCTTTTATTTATTAGTATAACGGTGGTTAAGAAGTGAACTGCTGGTGGAACTTCGTGGGTTTGAGTCCTGATTCTCCCAGTTGGAATACTAACATGGAGATTAAATGAGTTACGGCATGGAAAAGACAACAGTCCTGGCCACAAAGTAAGAGCTCAATAAGTAATATGTTACTTGTATTATTACTTGACAAAGGTGGTACACTAACAAATCCTCTGAGAACATGGAAATAAGATTGTTTTCACTGTTTGACTGCAAAATCAATACATCAGGATAAAGATATACAAGTTGTCTCAAAAACAAAAGATAGTTTTCTGGAGCAAAAGTCTGTATTACAACTTTTTACATGGATTAATATAATTAAAAAATTACTACATCAGTCATATTTGGGCTTTGTTAGCCATGGAGGTGTAGAAAAAAGAGAGCTACAGGGTAAATGTTGGTGTTGCCTATCCAAACACTCCCAAGAGGGAGTGAATCTTAGTCTGATAACTTATCCCAGTGTTTCTCTCTGTTTTGGTTAGGAATTCTCCGAAAAGGTCCCTTAGGGACTTAATGCCTGAAGAGAAAATCCTTTTCTTTCCTTCTTTTTTGTTGGTCACCAGATAGTACTCTAAAGTAGGTCAAGACTGTAGTGGGAGGTTGGCTGATTGACTTCCTCTAGAGCAGTTGGGATTTAGTTTCCTTTGCTATGCTTAAAATCTAAATTGGATTTGACTATATTCTTTAAAGGCATTGCTGCTTATTTTTTGGTGGGGGAGTACAGAGCCTTTGATTTTATGGCCAATTTGGTATATAGGTTCAGCCGTATAAAATTGCCATTCTGTAGGTCAAAATGGTCCAATATTGGCAATATCACATGGGTTAGTCAAAAACCTGGGCCACCACACTTAAGCACCTAGTTGTGCTCAATATGATTTGGCTGCCTGCCTCTGGCTTGGCTGGCCCATCAGTAAGAGAGAGGCCTCCAGCCAGCCAGCCAATTGCAAAGGCTGTCTCTTCAGGACAGCTGAAGGCAATGAATGGGACACATCCTGCCCTTGCAGCCTCTTGGCAACAGGCTGAGCTGGTTCATGCAAGTGCTGCTTTATGGCTCTTGCTAGACACAAAGGGACTCAGCCTCCTCAAGTGCTGGTGGACCATGGGGACAAATCTGCCTTCCAGATTCTGCTGTCTGTGTGTACCAGACCCTTTCTGTAGCAACAACAAACTGTAACCCTTATCTCTCCTCTTCAGCTAGGTATCCTTTTCTTTCCTACTGTGTCTTGGGAGGCTGCATGAAAGCTGTCTTTGTTTTATCCACATTCTGTAAGCCTAGGGCTTAAATGAAGGCCCCCCTCATCTCGGGGATGGAAATCCCTTCTAGCTTTCCTTCTCAGTCACACTCTGACAGAGCAAGGCCATTTCTGGCTTAGAGATAAAAGAACGAAGCTATAGTTGAATATTCTGGTCCTATTGGAAAGACCCTCCCTGTGGTTAGAGTCTTGCGTCAGGCTGTTTTCCCCTAATGCCATTAAACATTTTATTCATCTAATTTTCTCCTCAGATTTTAGGCTCATCCAAAAACCTTCTGCTTATCATCTAGCTTCTCATGTAGGTATGCCCTGTCACATGGACTTACAAATATCCTGGTTTCTGTGACATTTATTTTTTGTTGTGAATTAATGAAGCTGAATCTGGATTTATATCATAGTCTTATGAGTTTGTTGAATTTCTGCTTGTGAAAATACCTCTATTTAATGGTGTGTGCCAAACACAATCTGATCTCTAATCCTTCAAAAAAAAAAGGGCGGGGGCAAATCAAATTCACCAAAGTAAGAAATAAAGTCCTACGAGAGGTCTTTTAAAAATTAGCCAGACTTGCCTTTTTGAATCAGACAACAAATACTTTCTATCTCCATGGGGCTGAGCACAAGTAAAAGCTTCTTTGTGTTTAGTACTGAATTTTTACATTCATGCTCCCCCCCCCCAAAATACAAACATTTTTTTTAGGATTTTTTGCCTAGTTGTAGGAATTTTATAACATGGAAATTTTTAGGATGTATTTATGGAAAAAACAATAATATTAAATAGCTGTATAATATACCATTTACATAGACACATCAAAATTTGTAGAACAATACCATTGTTGTTGAATATTTGGGTTGTTTATATATTTATCTATTATAAATATCTCTATGATGAACTGTCTTTTCAAAACTATCTTATGCACATCTATTATTTTTCCCTTAGTGTAAATTTCTGAGTTAATTCATGAGTTAATATATGCAGTCATTGTAGACTCTTGATATATAATTCCATTTTTTTTCTTTCTTTTTTAAAAAGATTTTATTTATTTCAGACAGAGAGAGAGAGAGCATGAGCAGGGGAGAGGGGCAAGGAGAGAAGCAGGCTCCTCTCTGAGCAAGGAGCCCAATGCGGGGCTCGATCCCAGGACCCTGGGATCATGACCTGAGGCGAAGGCAGGCGCTTAACTGACTGAGCCACCCAGGTGCCCCCATTTTTTTTTCCAATAAGAGTATTAGTTTACACTCTCACCAACTTTGAAAGAGACTTCATTTCACTGCACACTCACCCACACTGGTTTTATTCATATTCCATGTTATAGGTGAAACATACTACCACATTTTTATAAGTAGCTTTCTTTTATTTCTAGTTAGACTAATTTTTTTTCAAATGGTTTTGGAAATTTTTATTCTCCTTTTTAAAAAACACATTTTTACCACATGATTGCTGTCTGTGCAGCAGAGAAGAGAGAGTAATGATCTTCAAGGTCTGAGGCTCGAGGATGCTGGTTATTTGATTTCTTCTTGAGTAGTGGTGGGACCCTTGGACTGTAGTTCTTCACTGACAGACTCCTGTGACTGGAACACCAACCCTATTTCTATCAGAGCTTTTATTGTAGTAACTGATGCCCTTTCACATAGTGCTAGAGGCTATATCATAGGCTACAAAGGGAGCTACTCAACTTTGTATATATTAAGTGTACTTTCTAATAATCCAAATAATTTAGACACATACTTTTTTAAGGTGTATGTTTCAAGCAGCAAACCCACTAGTGGCATTTATTACATCATTGTGAAGGAAACATTCCCCTAAATGCAATTAAACTCATTACACTTGAAAAGCAAATATTTGCCAATACATAATTTAAAGCATCACTCCAAAATAATTTGTTTACAGTGGTCAGATCCACTAAAAAGACCTCCTAAAGCTAATCACCTGGAAAACATTATGTAATTTCTTGCTAGAGAAATCAGTCCTTTAGAAAGGTATTTTTTAGTGTCACCCTTGGACTCTCTTGTCTCTGGTTCTTGCAATGTGTGAAGAAAAACTGAAGCATGCCTCTGTAAAGGTCAAAACCCTTAGCCTCCACCAGTGCTGTTTTCATTCTCAATCCTCTCTCTTTTCCTTGGTGGAGCATAGGGGACAAGGCTCTCCTCTAACTCTGGACTCGTTCTGAGAAGTAAGGGCTTCCAAAGATGCCACAAGTTATTGTGCACTTATCTCCTGTCTGCATTGTGTTGTGTAGCTTTTCTTGAACTCCTGTTAACCCAATCTGCATCTTTTTCAACTGACCCACAGCTGTCACCTACTTACCTATTGGACTCCTTATAATTTATTTATTTATCTTCTTATTTTTTTGAACTCCAATGATATAAATTATTATTCAAACCTGTACACATACTCTTTTTTATTTTTTTTTAAAGATTTTATTTATTTATTTGACAGAAAGAGACACAGCGAGAGAGGGAACACAAGCAGGGGGAGTGGGAGAGGGAGAAGCAGGCTTCCCGCGGAGCAGGGAGCCCGATGCGGGGCTAGATCCCAGGACCCTGGGATCATGACCTGAGCCGAAGGCAGACGATTAGCGACTGAACCACCCAGGTGCCCCTGTACACATACTCTTGAATATATAATGTCTTAGGAAACATGACATACATTGTTATACATTCAGCATAGTGCTATGTTGCTCCTTTGTTCTGTTCATCTTTCTTCTCCTTTCCCATTCCCCAGATGCTCTAAGCTTTTATCACTTTTTAAAAAAAATATTTTATTTGAGTATAGTTAACACACATGTTGCATTAGTTTCGGGTACATAACTTTGAAACATCTTAATTCCATATTGGGTTCCTTGCTCTCAGGACTCGTCACCTTTCTCTGGGCAAATATCAATTACGAGCCCTCTGGCTTGCCTCCTTTCCTTCTGCAAATGCACTTAGAGATTCAGACACCTCTGCTCCTCTTCTAGAGGAGAGTTTCTCTCTTTTTCAAGCTTTATCCCATTAAATATTTCCTCTTTCTTAGCTTTATTTTTTTTTCTTTTTATTAGTTTCTTTACCACAGTTTAAAAATAAAGCTAAAGCTTTTCCCTCCTACATTAATTTTACTTGCCCCGAAATACTTTCATTTAACTTGCAGTTCATCTCTGTTTATCTCTACCATTAAACACCTTGACAAACTATCCAACATTTTTGTTTCCATTTCTTCACCGTTAGTTTAAATGTTAACCCACTGTAATTTGAGGTTTGAGACAGTTCTTCCCAGGGGCACCGAGGACTTTCGAATGAAGTAGTCTGTTTTAAGTGCTTTCATTCCTTTCCTCTCTGTAACACCAGCTAGCCTCTCTCATTTTCTCTCATGCTTCTATGCTGCTAATCTCTCTTGCTTTCTTCTTCCTCTCTGAATATTCCTTTTCAGGCACCTTCACAGGCTCCTCTAACTGAGGTTACTTCATGATGCTCAGGGATCCAGAATAGCTTCTCTTGTTTTTCCCTTTTTCCTTCTCTCTGTTCTCTACATATACGTACTCCTAGACATTCTTATCCCCTCCCATGCCTTCAAATTCTGTTTACTGTAGACAGTATATCTCTCTCTACTGAGAGAGAAATCTAATACAAAATACACACATCAGACAGTTATGATACTAGACAGTAGTTATATACATGGGTATTATTCTCAAGATATTACCTGACGCCAATTGTTTCAATCTTCTTAACAATTTACATGGATTATGGTGTGGCTAATTTTAATGTGCAAATTTGAATCAAAAGGTACCGTAAAAGAGATTATACGTTCCATGGGAGTTGAAATTGTTGTACTCCTTTGATTCCCTGAAAGACTGAGGATTAGGGTTTTAT